AACCCCACATGTGCAATATATAATGGAAGAATAAAAACTCTTTAAAATACCCGGAAATATAACAGATGATCTGCCACAGATACACCTTTGATACAGCCTCAGAAAACTAAACTTTACATGTGATAGGAGAGACCGGGTATGGTTGTAACACTTTTTGCTCCAGCAATTTTAGCTAACTAATTTTAACTTTTTTAGCTAGAGTTCTCAAATTTTTATACAAAGTACCCACATTTATTTACTACAAATGGCGCCAATTCAATACTCAACAACAATATCACAGACTTTGTGAGTTGATGTCAAATACATGGTGTTCCTTTGTTACAACCTACCCCACTACCAGGGTAGGTTGTAACACATGCTGGGGTAAATTGTAAAATAAAGTAAAATAAAATAAAATAAAATACTCAAGTAAAATAAAAGAATAATGTTCTCTCTCTGTGTCTGATGACGTGTGTGTGTGTGTGTGTGTGTGTGTGTGTGTGTCTATGTCAATGTGTCTACTAGAACAAACTTACTTAACAGTATACTTAATAAACACTACTACAATGTACCTAATACCTAAAATCTTTTTACATCTTTAGGTCTAACAAAAATACGTGTATGTGTGCGTCAATGTAGGTATATTCTTAATCAGAGTTACAGTCAATGCTTGAAGTGGCCTGATATTTACCGGTAAGCAGCAGATTTTACTCTTTGGACTACTGGGACTTTTTTTGCGCACAGGCACTTCTCGTAAACTGCTACTCGTCTTCCCTCTCCACCGGTGGAAACTGACTAAGGAAAAGATCGGGTACCGTTACACTGGCCAACATGTGAACAACATGTGAATAGGAAGTGGCTTCAAGCACAGGACACAGTGCTGACAAATGAGTGCTGGTAACCCTGGAGTGCAGGCTTGGTGGGCACAGAGACTGCATAGACTGCATACAGCAACAAATGACCTCTATGATGTTTTGAGTATTAAAAGAAAGGTTTCTAAAACGCGTTAGCCCATAATCAGCTAAATGCAAGCAAAGTGGCCAGCAAGCAAAGGTTATGGTGAGTGTTGAAGATGCATCAAATTAAGTTGTTAAATTAGTGTTCAGTAAATCCCTTTAATTTTTTTTAGTCATCCAGATGGATAATCCCCCATAGCCAGAGATTACAGGGATTACCACTGAATCAGTGTGTGGGAGGATTAGCTCCAGCTCTAATTCCACACATTTGTCTCCTATAGCTCACTTTCTGGTTTTCCTCTTCGAGTCACCGACAGGCACGGTGCTCACAGGCACTGTGGCAGCACCCTCGTGGAAAACTAAAAACCCACAGGTTCAAAATAACAAACTACTCCTTAAGGTGCTGTGGATCACAATAATACTTTATTTTATGAGTCATCTTCTCATATTCACGACCTGACGTTTTAATTTCCTGAACTATGAAAATTAGTAGAAAATGAATTCCTTTTGCACAGCTGAATGACATTTCTGTATAGGCAAACAATTCAACATACACTGTATGTGAAGTTCATATGAAGTTTCAAATAATAAATTAATAATGAAGGAAGGAAATTACTATTTACTATTACTTAAAGGAAATTGTTTGGAAATTATGGACACTTACAAAAAAGTTAAAGTTTTGCCAAGAATAGTAGCAAAGCCTTCCATCTGGATATGAATAAATAAATAAGAAGTCAGGAAAGATTAAGTATTAGTGGAGTACTTCAAAAGATGAATTAATAAAATATTCTATTATTTGTATTTTTATATGATATACATATTCGTATTTCTATTTTAAGCATAGACTATTTATTCATTTATTAATGTTTTTAATAATTGTTAAAAAGTATTTCCTTTTTTGAGTGGAGGGTGACTTAAAGGCAGCACAAGATAATGTTAGGACTGCTATTTGCAATTAATTAATTTTATTCATGTATTTGTTCCTTTCATTTCATTTCTTTGAGGTACTGTTAAGAACAACAATTTAATCCCACCAGCAGGCGACTCTGTGCAAGTGTGCGTGTTGTTATTTTTTCAGCTACTAATTTATTTATTTATTTATTTATTTTTTGTGTGTGTGTGTGTGTGTGTGTGTGTGTGTGTGTGTGTGTCTACACACCAGCCACCACCTTCCCTGGCGTGCCCCGTGACCGGTGAGGCCGGTTTTAATGCACTGTCCAGCCTTCTGCATGCTGCAGACCGAGGGACTGCATGGGAACCGAAACACTTGCTCCGCTCGCGCAGGTCGGCCCGCTCAGAAGGACAGCACGTTCATCAATGAGACGGCGTGGAGCGCGCGGTCACGGTAGGTTAAAAACCTGCACGGTTCGAATTATCAACTGTTTTTCAGCAAAGGGAGGGAGGGGTGGGATACACACGTTTCTAACATGTTCGTGCAAAACGCACACGCATACACACACAGTTGCCTTAGTGATACGGCTGGAATAAAGGAGGGCCCCTAAAACAGCGAACAGACCTGCAAAGAACAAACTCTCAAATCATTGCAAATCGTTCCCAGTTTCACCACTTTGACATGTTTGGTTCCCAATACATCAGACAAAATCCAGTTTTCTATTTCCACCCATACATTTCAATGAACGGAGTTTGTGTATTTATTAACCAAAGGAACTCATTTAAAAAATAGTGAAGCCTTATATTCTGTCTGCATACAAAACTAGATGATTGAAAATCAGTATCAGAAATACTTTATTGATCCATAACATAAAGGTGTCATCAAATCCATTCTGAGATTTCACTGTAGTAACAATAGACCTAAAGGCCTACTACTTACCTTAGCCTACTACTTGGTATAGGTTCGGGGCACTGTGTTTGTAAGTAGGAGAAAAGTGTGTTCGTTCCTCAGGTATGAAAATTAATGTTTAAAAAGAAGTCTGTATGATCAATATGGTACATGTATAAACCACGCCATTATCAGAATTATTTGGCCGAGTATTTGGACACAGGCTACAAGGAATCTGACCCTTGTTTTAAGTTGCTCTCATAGTTACAGGGTTCCTAGAAGAATTTACGGGAAGAAATAAATAGACACAGGCCTACATCTACAAACAAGCACAACAAAGCAAGAGATTTCATAGGCTCAGTCAAAATAACTGCTGAACGGTGGCTGAATCGGTTCCCACACTGCCTCAGTCAGCTGAGCTAAACACGCTGCAGTGTGTGGGGCCAGCTCTCTTCGTCTGGTGAGAGATCTCTGACACTTCATTGGAATAAATGGCTCCGTGTAGGCCAGTGCTTTTCGTCAACGGACGAAGAGGTGGATGCGTGGCTGTGCTGAAGGAGGATGGGGTTTTTTTCTCATGTTGGATGCAGTGCGGGTTTTAAAGTGCAGTCTTGCGGGGTCCTGTGTTCAGCACCTGGTTGCTACCGGGGAGTGCGTGTATTGTGTGAGGCATGCCGGCTCTCAGCAGCTTCATCATGTAGACAGCAGGCCCCATTTATAACGCGACATGTTGCATTGACTGGCGATAGGGACGCAAATGGCCTTCTTCCCACGGCCACGGCCCGTGTTGCAGCTTTCTGTCACACCACCAACGCGGTGCGCGCGCAGGCAGCCTGGCAGTGTAAATGGTCCATTTCTCTGCTCAACAAAGTGAACACTTTCACTGAATTGGTTGAATAGATATGCACTTAGGCCGGTGGGCAGTCTCTTTTCGGTAGACTGGGGAGAGTTAATAACGCCAAGAGGCGCGCGCTCCGGGGACCACCACTGTGTTATTTGTCAACCAGTTCTCCCAATAAAACCCCACTGGCTGGCACAAGTCGCGCATCGACCACTCTACTGGTGCATGTATTTATAGCAGCGCTGCCCATTTACTGCGAAATAAATGAGCGAGTTAAGGGCTCGTACAGATCACCAGGTGGTGTTTCACTTCCTTCAGGCTTGAGAGGAGCCACATGTTGATAGTCTGCAGTGCTTCATGTTTGGGAATATTTCTTTCCATTTAATAATAAGCTATACAATCTGTATCTCTCTTTGCATCACTGTTTTCCTAGGCCTATTGCATGGGAAAGCTAGAGATCACAAACTGGTTGCCAGTGCAAAGGCTAAAATATTATTTAGGCTATTATGTAATTTCCTTTTAGATTAGATTCCTTACATTTTTTAGATTGGCAATATTGCAGGCTAGCTCTAAATAGCCCTATGGCCATTTAACGATAATAATAATAATCGTATCGATAATCAGCATCATCATCATCATCATCATCATCATTATCTTACGTCCACATCCCCGTGAAATTGTCGTGCTTGACCTAAAAGCGTCACTGCTGCTGGGTGGATGCACTTGTTGCACAGTACCACAGCGATGAGGGAGTCCACTGACATCACCTCGTCCTCTATCATAATATTTCCTGGCCAACATGAACGTTTGTTTTGTTAGCGACACCTGCTGCTTTAATCAGAGGAAATACGAGCTTTATTCCCATTAGACTATTATGGTCGTCTTCTGTTACGGCTATTCACCAAAATAGCCAAGCTATATAGAAATATTATCAATTAAGATAGGCCAATACAAAGCTATAGCCTTAACATGTCTTAATTTAGGCAATTTCTTGGGTAACAGACAATTGCGAGGTCACGTTGACTCGTTTTTATCTAATAGGCAAGGTCATCCGCAAATTTCTGTGAAAACCATTTTTTTTTTTTTGCAATATAGGCCTATGTGACTACATTGTATGACTATTCAGTCAAGACGCTAGTGCCATGTAGTGTAAGGAATATAGTTTAAACATTCTAGGGTATGCTAAACAACTGGATATCTAAATTGGCTGATTTGTGAATAGAGTCTGGTATAGGAGAACAGCCGGAGTCAGTGCAGAGCTCAGCTGTTTGTTCAAGTCCTGACAGTGGAGGGCAGGAGGCGTGGCGTTCTGGGGGATTATCTCGAGGTGCGCTTCACGGACCGAGCTGTGATTGGTTGGCGCTCCTGGTAAACGGCACGCGACTATGGATGTCGCTATAAAGAACACTCGCGTGCCGTTTCTTCAACTAAAACAACTGTTGACCGTGAGCAGCTAAGAAAGAGCAACAAGTTCATAAAAGGAGAAACAACGTGTCATTGTTCCCGCAACAACAGAAAGACGCAGCAGCGCAGACAAAGATGGACAGTGTGCTGGACCCTTTCTCCGGACTCGACTCTTTCTCGTCCCCTCCTTATTTCGACGATGACGACTTTTTCACCGACCAGTCCTCCAAAGACGGACACTTGGACACAGATGACTTTTTGGATGACGATGTGGACTTCCTCACCACTCATTTCCAAGACTATTACAGCAAAGACGGCGGCAGCAGAGTAGCTCCTCACGATGGAGACTACGATATGGGAAACTTGTCCTTCTCCTCCTCGTCCTCCACCTTCTCGTATGGCTGCGCCGACAGCACCCCGGACCTGTCCCCTCACGGCGGGCCCTTCCTGAAGCGCAGGAGGCGGATGAGATCTGAGATGGAGATGCAGCAACTGAGGCAGGCGGCCAACGTCAGGGAGCGGCGGAGGATGCAGTCCATCAATGACGCGTTCGAGGGGCTCCGTTCCCACATCCCGACCTTGCCCTACGAGAAAAGACTCTCCAAGGTGGACACTCTGCGGCTCGCCATAGGCTACATTAACTTCCTCGCCGAGCTCGTGCAGTCTGATCTGCCCATTAGAAACTCCAGTTGCGAGACGCACACGCAGCCGAAGAAAGTCATTATCTGTCACAGAGGAACAAGTAGGTCCATTTAAATATCATATCTCTAATCCAACTTGTTTTTTTCTTTTTCGAGACGGTGCATTAGTCATGGTGAAAAAGATGCGTAGATGTTTTCTCTCTAAACACCTGTCTTCCTCCTATCCAGAAACTTCACGCATTTGGATTTATGCGAGCCGAGTCCTAGTGTTTTGATGAAGGTGATGAAAACAAAATATCTGATAGTAATGTTCTTGTTCTACTTTCTTTTTCCAGGATCTCCGTCTCCCAGCGACCCGGACTACGGCTTGCCTCCTCTGGCAGGTCACTCTCTGTCCTGGTCGGATGAAAAGCAACTCCGGGAGCAGAACATCATCCGTACCGCCAAGATCTGGACACCAGAAGACCCCCGAAAACTGCACAACAAACCAGGCCTCACAGACATTGAAAACGAGCCTCCTTTCGGCCTTGTGACCTAAACAGAAACACCAGAGTCGTCCTGACTCGTCCTGTAAGACGCACATTATAAATGTGAAGACCGTTGAGTGGATTAAGTTAATACTCTTAATGTGCACTCGAAGGCGCATTATAAACACATGAGCACCATGTGAGTTTACTGTACACTTTCCGATATTGTATTCAATGTTGTACATAGTTTTATCACGTTGATAATTTTATTTTTGTAATTCAGTCAACTGGCAATCATGTATTTATTTTATTTTATTTTATTTTACAAGTGATAATATATGTTTTAATTTAATTGCAATGAATGTGAGGAAAAAGTATATTGTTGTACAATGATTTATATTTATTTTTACTCTGCAAATAAAAGCACTTAACAAACTATTTATTTATTATTGTTGTTGTCTGGTCAAAGATGAAAAAAGATGTTCAGCATCGACATGTCAGCAGCCTGTACGCCTCTGCCTCAGTGTGTGAATGATGTGATGTAAGAAGTAGAAGATTATACTTTATTAATCTAACAAGGGGAAATTCAGTACAGACTTAGGCCTACTATTTACCTTATAACAAACAAGTGGAAGATTTAAGTAGTACTGAGCAAAACGCTGATGAAATCCACGCGATGTGGCTGAAAGCTCAAGGACCTTTTGTCAGACTAACAACAAATGTTTTTATGAATCTAGGCTCTGGAGAAACTTTTTTTTCCATTCTAAAACTGAGCATAAATGAACCACACAAATGGTTTTGTTATAGTTCATCGCCAGCCATCAGCTCAAAGACGGATTTTATGTCAGCATATGTTGGACCTTCAAATAACGGATGTCTATAAAACATATGATTTCTGTCAGATGTAACAGATATAGCCTAATATTGACATATTATTATTATTATTGTTGTTGTTGTTGTTTTTGTATGATGCTTAATGTAAGGTGCAACCTCGTCAGTAAACAAATACTAATACAGCCCAATACTGTAACTTAAATATGTAAATGGTATGCTAATCAGAAAACACTGTATACCCACAACAGCTGATGGTGCTTAAAGCGCACGCGGGCGTGCACCAGTATGGTGGGGGCTTTTGAAAGTTGCTCTGTGCTGCCAGGTGCTGCCGGGACAGATTTTCCCGTAGTAGCGGCATCCTTCCAACATGTGTTCCTCGGCCTCCTCTGCGGCCGCCCCCCACACCACCAACACGCTGCCGCATATATGAACCATGCGGGCCCAAGAGCTGCAAACACCAGGCTGAGGCGACCTGCGAAGTACTGCCGAGAGGCCGCTCTCAGGATTTAAAAACCTTTGGCACCACAGGTGGGTTAGCTCCTATTGCTATTTATCAGAACTATTATTAGATTTTGTCATGTTTGAACCGCTTTACAGCCAGATTTCAGGTAGGCCTATAGCCTTTTGTTGGGATGCCACATTCTTCTGCAGTTTCACATCACTTATTTATATTCGGGGAGCTCCAGTATCTCTTTCTCTCTCTCTCTCTCTCTCTCTCTCCAGCAGACAGTCCGGGTCCTCTGTGAGTCCGTCCGATCCTCATTACTAGCGCGACAGGACCATGTAATCCTATTACAGCCATTAGAAAGTCAAATGTTAGCGAGTCAATGCTGGGCAACTTCATCTCTTTGGCAGGAGGGCCGGGTCCACTTCGACTGTGCGGCAGCAGAGCCGGGGGTTAAAACAGTGGTTTCATTGTAGTTTCTCGCACCTTAACGCCGTATTTGAGCAGTTGATGGTTTTTAGTGTGCGGAGCGCAGAACGCCTCCCAGCACCCTTTGGTACGGTCGCAGCCAAGCGGAAAGGACAGGCTGAAATACACCCGGCTATCTTGTCACTCCGGCTACGGGCTTGGCAAGGCTTAAAAGGACGCGGCCATTTAACTGTCTGACAGGTTTTAGCTCCTTTAGTTCTCAGTAGGCCTGGACATTGGAGGACCACGCCAAGCGGTAATTTGGTTGAAAAAGGCTCGGCGCTGAGCCCAAAGGCCGCGGATCACACACACGCAGCGCATTACAGTAGGCCGGGGCAGAGCTGTACAGTGCCGCAGGGAATGGAAATGATTCATCCCAGAATTCTAACGAAAATATGCTGACAATACATTCTGATTTCTAAATGTAGTCGGAACGCTGAGGGGAAAAAAATCTGATTTTAGCCTGATTTCTGTCAAATTTCAGAGAGAGGAAAAACATTCCAGATATTAAGTTGTGTGTTTGATATTCAGGCATTCAAATCACAATTCTAAGGAAATTGGATATACTTATATATTGTTATAAAATAGAACTGATATAGCCACATTGATATAAAGACGGAAAATCCATGGGAACAGCTACAGCAGAATCATTGTTAGGCCTATACACCAACTGAGAGCTGCTTTCTTTAAAATGAACGTATTTACTTTGAATACGTTTGTACATTTCGTTGCTGATATACATTTGCTCACATGTAAGTCAAATATTGGACTTAATATGCTGCCTAAATATGTTGATACTGCGTCACTGACACCTTTCCTTGATATATGCACTAGTTGAAGCACTTTAAAAGTGCTCTCACTTTCAAAAGTGCTTCAACCTATGACAACAACAACAACAACAATTCCATAACGTCTTACTATTCTATTACATCTACAATGTTTCTAGCTCAGATGCTACTTAAAACATACCATCATTTAACTTTTACACCATATTGTGCTCTATGCTGCTTTAACCCTTAAATTCACTTCATTTCACCTGAACATGAAAGGTTTTAAGTGTTTCAAACATTATAATGAATATTTTCCATGACGTTTCAGGTGTTACATGGGATTACTATAATAAATTTCAAAAATTATACAAGCCACTTTTGAACCAACAGTTGAAGGACATTTGATGTCTCAATGTAGGAAGATGCAATAAGGGAGCCCTTTTACGCACCAGCGGATGTGAGTGTGTTTGCATACATTGATGAAAAAAGAATGAAGGCAATAAAGGGAAAAGGCTATTAGGTCTGAAATTTCTGCGGTGATTAAAAGCAGTGTATGTGTGAAGCTTTAGTTAATCAGCCTTGACTGATGCCCTACGAGGTTGTATCGCCTCTAATGCTGTAAAATCCGCTTTAAACCCTTATGTTAGCGCACTGGAAGAGCCACAAATCGGCTTGTTCTTTTCTTTCCAACATGGCATCAGGGTGCCAGCTTTGAGGCTGACCTGGCCAGACTCACAGGTCCTGATCTGTGGGCGCGGTGAGCCGTTGGTAACCAACAGGTGTCTGCTGGGTTCGCAGTGACAGAGGAGGCTGCAGGAGGAGCTGAGTGGCAGGGAGGGGATGTAGCCGGGGCCATTCTCCCTTCCGGTGCGCTCTTTTCTTTCAGACTTTACCTTCAAATCTAAATTACATCTTTATGAGCGCGTCCTTGTCCCGCTGAGACAGATCGGTCTCCGCCGTCTTCTCCGGGGATGCACCTGGTAGTTCAAACTTTGTCTCTTTTCATTACCTTGCGCCTGAGTCCCGGGACAGCAGCTGCCTAAAAGCAAGCAAAGAGAGAGGCCCTTGCAGTGTCTTCGAGACGGGTTGGCACCGTTATCCACGTCTTTAATGTTCCATCAGCCTTTGTCCAGGACACAATATGGCAACTGTAAAGCATGACGTTTTGCAATAATAAAACACATTTTCAATGATGTGACACCGGGATGAAAGCTCAGCCAGGCTAAATGTGTCCCCGCGTTTGTTTTGTGCGCCCTCAGCCAATTAACAGCGAGATCTTTTCGCTGCGCCTTGATAAGCCAATTAAATTTATGTCTTCTATTTTTTTCAAGGAGAGAAAGGAGGTGGATTTGGTGTGTTCTCCTCCTCTGAACGGCAATTTTCTTGCCATCACCTGGTGTTTTCTCCACAAGAGAGCAAACTGTCCCGGGTGCCCCCGGAACCATACGGCTCTCACCATCCTGCACCATTGTTTCCCGCGTTGATCACTCATTACAGGGATTCAACAAATCCTCTATTAGCTATGTTTTGTGTCATATTTTCATCCGCAAGATTAAGCAGATGCTGCGATTGTAAAATCTAAACTGTAGGGCTACTCAGGCTGAAAGAGAGACGGGCACTCTCTTGTTGAGAACGAGGGAAAGAAAAAAGCTTTGGGCACATCTTCAGAGGAATAAAACATTTAGGAGCCATAAACAGACTTCAACCTGCTCTATTTCAGCCTTTGTGTTGTTTGTGAATAATTAATGTTAATAGGGACAGGTTTGTATACTTTGAATGCGGGACCACAGGTGCGGAGTGACAGGATGAATAACCGGCCTTGATTTTTGCCAAACCTCGAGGGCTCTTGTGCACGGTCTCCAAGCTGATGGAAAATATTGTCATCTCTTTGATTCGCAGCATTACTTTCACCGAGAACAAAGCCGGGTGATGAAAAGCTTATGTTGGAGTGAAACGGGCAATGACGGTGGCCGCTTCAGACTCCTGAAAGAAAGAGAAAGGGGCGAGTCAATGCCAATGCGCGCTTCTGGTTTTGTGCGCAAGTGCTCCATCTAACTCAAATAAAGGAGCCTTTCCAACTTTAAAGGACCACTTTTTGCCTTTAATAAAGGCTGGACGGCTGTAGCCATTAAGCATATGGTGCTAAGGAGCTGGTCTTTTGTCACAGTGAAGCCCTTGAGATACGAACTTGTGTTCTTTCCGGGATATTTAACTTCTTTAAAGCGCCAACTTTATGCGCCGGCAACAAGTGGCTCTGGGGCGCACAAGCAGCTTTATCGGGTGGCTAAGACAGAATAATTAGAGGGAAAATAATTAGAAGAGGATTTTAGTTCTTTCTGACACGCACTGTCGTACATTTTAAGGAATTTATTTATTTTTTGACCACGGAGAGAAATGCGTTACTTTGGATTTGTTCCAAAGGACTGTTTTTTTTTGTGGCGCTTTTGGCGCACGAAAATCCATGGCAACGCATGGACGGACTGGGAGTAAAATGAGTGCGCATGGAGAAAATTTTACCTCTCTTAGAATACCGGATTAAAATAAGCCCAATTTCACAGAAATGTAATCTTATGATAAAATGATATACTGTAGTTTACGATTTAAACGTACATTTCAGTCAGAGGCGACATCTAAGAACGCGTCATATTCAAATATACTTAGGAGCTTTCTATAAAAACAAAAATATCCATATAAACTTTGATTTTGGGTGCAGTGTATTCGTGCGTAAAAGCTGAACCAGTGTTTCCAGTTTTGCCTTACTGCGTAATGATAAGTCTGCTGCGCGCTGGTTTAATGCAACTACACTTGGCTGCATCTCACTCCCCTATGAGACCCCCAGAGAGATGTGATGTACCGCATTGACCAGTTCTTTGTCTTATGTATGACTTTAAGGACAATCTAATGTGTTACAACACATAACAAGTTAAATATATTTTTCAACATTACAATAAACCTTACCTAGCAAAGCCTAAATAACTGAATAGGTTTTATATTATTTTGAGAATATACATTCTTTGAAAGGTCTGGTCTGGTTAGAATTATTTTTTGAGTTTTTCCTTCCTCTGTTATCTCCACCTTCTTACATTCTGGCCTTAGAAATAACTGAATGCTCATACCGGTAAATTGTGTGTGTGTGTGTGTGTGTGAGAGAGAGAGAGAGAGAGAGAGTGTGTGTGTGTGTGTGTGTGTGTGTGTGTGTGTGTGTGTGTGTGTGTGTGTGTGTGAGAGAGAGAGAGAGAGAGAGAGAGAGGTGTGTGACGGAGCCAGCTGGCCACTTCTGGCCCCTGAAAAACCCCCCTGGTGGACGGAACACGGCGGGCTGACCTCCGCGCCAGAGGACGGGAGATGTGCCTTTGACTGAATTAGCCATAAAGACGTCTTGCTATGATCTTTGTTGCGGCTGAAAGCAGGGTGGATATGAGAGGCAATGTGCACAGCTTTTGCGTGCCCCATCATGAAATATTACAGTCTATTCAAGAGGAAGCTCATTTGAAAAGATATGGAAATGAATCAGTCTGACTTGGCTCTCAGAGCAGACCAAAAAAAGCAATAAATGAACAATTACATATAATAAATAAGTAGATAAGAACTTCCATTCTCAGGGAAACATTATCTCAGGATTTTAGCAGTGATTCATGCAGCGCGTAACCCGCACGTGTTGACAAATGATGCATTTTCTTTTTGACTCTTCCTGGAAAAAAATCCCTGAATAACTCAACAAAAAAGTGATGAATTACAGATATGCTAATTTCAGTCACGGCCGTTTGTACGTGTGCTTCTTCATCAATCTCCTACATTCTGCGCTGCTGATCCCCGTCGTGCGCTAGAGGACACTCAACCCGTTTAGACCGGGGCTCTTTTGTTCGCCTCCAACACTGACTTCAGCCTCCAGAGAAGGGAAAGGTTTTTTTAAGTTTTATACCCCCACCCCCACGCCCATCCCTTGCTCTGTCAGTTGCCAGGATTCAGAGGTGTAAAAGCATGCATCATTTTTCACCAGCTCTCCGTTTTGATATCGACAAAAGCTGCTGCTATGGAACAGCCTCTCCGCTTGTTCGCTGGCTTGAACTTCACTGATGTCCGACTGCTCTCTTTTCCTCATCTGAACGCGGCGCAGCAGGGATGGATTTGCAAGACAAATGCAGCTGTGTGTGTGTGAGGGAGTCAAGTGGCACAAAAAGGCCGTTTCAGTCAGCCGACGGCATGGAGAAAGTCAGCATTATGCGCACGTCAAATCAATCAAAAACAAAAGCCCGCATGCAGAAAATTCGGAGTTTATGGTGTTGTAATGTCAGCTTATTTTTGTTAAATTGCGAATACCGCAAAGCAAACTTGTTGGTGTAGTCCAGGAAGTTGGTCAAAAAACTCGAAGGACCTGCTGGCCTTGTGGGTGTTTTTCATCCAGAATACAATCTAAATAGAAAGAGTACAGTCAAGACCTGCTCTATATGAAAAGTGCAATGAGATAACTTTTGTTGTGAATTGGAGCTATATAAGTAAATTTATAGCAAATTTATAGCAAATTTCTCTGCGTTAAAATGATCCTCCAGTGATCTACATGAAGCAGGGACAATTATACTTAAGTTGTGCTTTTGTGTTTTCTAAAAACAGAAAACCACTTAGTGTTGACAATCACCTCCATGAGCAGAGAAGAGAGAGGAGTCAGCGTTGGGATGTTGACGTTTCTCCATCCAAGCGATCTCCTCGTCCTTGGATCGGGCAGCTAGGAGGGGAACCCTGCACCAAACCTCATTCAGAAGGGCCAATGGAGGTGGAGCTGATGCAACTGGGCAGCCACTATTTGGAACCGGAGGAGCGGCAGCGTTAGATCTCCAAACGCAGCTGTCTCTCCTGTGGCCGTACCGGTTACTTCCTAGCCGCCTGCCCCAGACATCCGTTAAACTGGCAGATTCACTAGGAGAGAGGACTTTCATGCCATTCTCTCCTTGCTCCCGTTCCCAAATCCAAGCACAACTCACCAGTCAAGGTCAGTCATGCCCTCTCTGGATTCAGGTGCAGATGAGAGCTTTTTAGATTATGAGGTAAGCAGCTAAATTTCCCCTTGAGTAAGTTAAACAAACCGTACTTAATAATTGTCAACATGAAAGCACGTATTTAAGTTGATCCAAAATAATGTTTTAAGTTAGATGAAGAAGCTTTTTGGCCACAATAAAACACATTTCTAAGTAACATGAACTTAATATTTAAGTTGATCTCTGCAAGTGGCTAACTGGCTAACATAGCTACTTGTAGTTTATAAACGTAGCTATCCTACATGCTAACCAAAGTGGTGGCCAATGGGTAATCCCATATTAAGTTAGCTTGCCAAGACGTTTTCCCTGGCTGCCTGGCCACCTATTATGCCCGCATTTAAGCTTACTCAATCAGTGACAGGCTACAGCTACTAGCTAACTTTACCTCGGCACTCAGACTGTACTATCAACACTGCTCAAATTTCAGAGTAAGGACTTCCAGATTTCGGTATTTGGTTACAGTAGGCTTTCACCAACAGAATCATGAGCGAATGCAAATATGTGTAATTAACCATAAAATTACTTACCATTCACCACATTATGCTTCAATGAGTTTCAGCTGTGGCCCTGTGGTCACTTGTCTGGCCTTGAACATGCCCGCACATGCAGGAGAGGGAAACTGTGGGCTGTTTACACGTCATCAAATTGTATTTTACTTTAACAGAACTTAAAATTAAATTATCTTTTGATTAACTTAAAATGTTAATTAATACACAACAATATATATGTTTAAAGGTCCCCTGAATCAGTTTTTAGAGTGCAGTTTGTTATTAAAATTGTAACAAACTTTATCATGTGTCTCTTCATTATACTCCCACACAAAAATGCTGGTTTTAATGGTCAAGTATAGCCTATAGTTTTTCATTAGATTCCAGTCAAATCTGATGTTCATTTTTAAATGTTGCTCATGGATCGTGGTTACTAAATAATGATGCCAGTCCATCGCTTGTATGGCGTATATGTCAGCTGGTTAATTTGCCTAATCTTCTCAGGTTTGGGTACTTTTGGTGTAAACTCAGCTCAGATTGATCTATTGACTTACTGCATGGCTCAGCCTTTCCCAGCAGCCACCTGTATAGTTTGTCACGTCCTGGGGTGTGTTTCCCAAAAGCATCGTTGCTAACTCCCTTGGTTGGAACTATACAGTTGCGACGCAACCGTTCCCCAAAACCCTAGTTCAAACAATGGCGATAACTAAGTTGGTAACTTACATGGTACAAACCATCGTTAAGCAAGGTGTTCCCCAAAACCATAGTTCCGACGAACGTTCGCAAACATTGTCATTAAGTTGCATAGTTCAAACTACAGCTTCCAACCAGTGGTTAGAAGCTCAGTTCATGGTGACTACATCACAGATATATAATATTGGGCTATAATTGGGATGGTGATGGCACGTAGATAAGATGCTTGCCTTTGGTCTGGGAGACTGGGGTTTGATTCCCACTGTGACCCCTGAGCAAGACACTTAACCCCTAGTTGCTCCAGAGGCGTGCGACCTCTGACATGTATAGCAATTGTAAGTCGCTTTGGATAAAGGCGTCAGCTAAATGAATAAATGTAAATATGATAAAATTGGTGGCCACCCCAGTGGCACATGCATGAAATACTATACCCTGTCTATATTATGTAACTCTTGGTTTTGAGTTAAAAGGTGCTTAGCAGCATATAAGTGTTGTCATATTAGGCTCTGGACTGTGATTTTTATTTAAAGAGAGGCCTCTGATTTGTTTATTTAGATGCCTATCACATTTCTAAAACGGTTCAGCCTGCTGCTGCCAGTGTGTTTTTTTCTGGAGGTAATTTAGCGACAAGCTGCAGAAGACAGAAAAGTCTAATTTATTTAATATACAGACAGTCAGTAGCCTGGCTAGTTTATGATACTTTTGTCAAGTTTTGTGTATTGTACTGTGTGTAAGAGCTATATGCGTCTGCAGACAGCAACAGGTTAGCACCATCGCTAACAGCAAGCTAACGTCAAACAGACACAGTCCCACTGGCAGAGCCGTGCCGGACCTGATAAGCACCTTTGGCTTCGAGGAAGACCATCCTGTGCCTGTCTTCATCTTTCTTTGAGGATTGCAAAACGAGAACAGTGGGAGTCATCTGGACGATGCTGTGAAACTGGGCTTAAAATTACTTTAAAGAGTAAACTTCACTGCCCAACACAGGCGATCCATTGAGCAGCAAACAGGGGGAGGAAAACAGCTACGAGCTCAGTGACAGTCAGATCGTAACGTTTACTCTATCTGTGGAAAATGTTCAAACAGCACAGGGCCGCAACGAGTCAACAGACTCTGAGAAACCCAGAAGTATAGTAAGGTAAAGTAAGCTGTGTTGAGTGAAAGCATCTTAAAGCATAAAATGCATCGAATCAATCCCTGAGAGCTTTCGTTGCCATTATGTCAAAGATAAATAAGAGAACTCACTGGTGTCGAACCCGTGTCTGTCTCAATTGAATGCTTTCCCAAGCACAGCCACTTATCGCACTCTGAGCTATTCTCAAGACTTTAAAATTTGAAAAAGAGACTTCGAAAAATTTATGTTGGCTGAGCAATTCATAATAGTGTTAAAATATTGAAATGAAGATACTTGAAGATTAAACCTATTTTACTAAATGTTTTGTAATCGCTAGTTCTCAGTTTTTTCTTCTAAAATGTTGCTATTGCTTTACACTATATATTTAGGTGAAATAAAATTATTAGGTTATATATTATTGTTGTTGATTTTCTTGTTATTTCCAGTATAAACTACAATATGAAAAGCCTAAATAATAAGTCAGCATAATAATGTCACTTAATATCGGTCAAAACTGACATATTTAAGCATAATATGACAATGTTTTGTGAGTTTCCCGCTGTGAAAGTCAGACGAACATATGGAAACATGTTAGTTCAAACTATGATGCGTTTTATGGTGGCGCCTCTGATGTGAGATTTGGGGCTGTACTCTCTTAACGCTCGGTTCATGATGACAGAATGCATCCCTGTGCCTTTTTCCCTCACCATCTTTCTCCCGCAAAGACAAATTACGACACTGGGGACAGGGAGCTTCTGGTGGTGAAGATGGCTTTGGAGGAGTGGCCATTGGCTGGATGGAGCTGAACAACTGTTTGAGGTATGGACTGATCATAAAAACTTTGAGTATATTCGTTCCACCAGATGATTGAATTCATGCCAGGCAAGGTGGGCTCTGCTCTTTGGTCGTTTCCACTTCACCATTACCTACAGGCCAGGGTCCCGCAATGCCTGACACATTTTCATGCTTGTTCAGCAAGAGAGGATTCCTCTTCTCCCCTGGACACGTTGGTTCCCAGTTGTTGTGTCGTCGGGCCAGTAACCTAGAGGATCAAGGAGGACGTCCAAGGTGGCCTGTCGCTATCCACCTGCCCTCTTGGAGACCTGCTTCCCCTTTGCCTGAGCCTAAGACTGTTCTAAACTGTCGCATTGGGTTCTGGCTGCTTTTGGTTTCTGCCACCATTCCTGACAGTAATATACTTCCCACAATAGTGATGGAGTTAGTTGTAGGCATAATAGGAGGAATAACACATGTTGTCATTTTCAATAGGTTAAGTAATAATTGTCTAACAGTTGCTTCTTGTCTCTCTGCAGCTGAACCCCAGCCGGCTGTGCTGTAAGTCAGAACTCCCAGTGGCTGGTGGCCAGTGTTGACTGGGAAAGCTTCCAGTCTCCAAGGGACTGTGATTAACCCAGGAGCGTTCAAACACGGCAGGAAGCCCTCCACAACCAGCCACAGCTATTTATTCACTTTCCAATGAAACCAATTACTTTTAGAGCGAGCCTTGGGGCTGACACTATATGTGTTGTTCTTGCAGACCAATAGAGTATGGCTGTGAAAGGAGAGGCAGACGTGAAGTAGGAAACCCTCCTGAGCTGCTTTAACAGGCTGTAAAATATACCTAAAGTCAGTATCCATGGGAACTCACTAATGTCGGAGAGAAGCCTGACTGACACACACAGCCTTTTATAAAACTATAAAGTATATTTTACTATGTTTTATGACTCATCTTCTAATATCAAAGCTGTTTTAGAGTTGTCAAGGCATTGTCTTTTTGTAGCCAAGGATGAATAAACATTTATACATAAACCCAGTGTACACACCTTTTATTTTACGCATTGTGCTTTTAAGACTGCAGAGCATTAAAATGAGCATTGAATCCAGATGGTAGTGTGTTTTACTTAGTTAAAGCATCTTAACATCAAAAGTCATATATAAGGGGAAACTGGGGATGGTTATAACATCAGTCAGTTGTAACACGTCAAATTTCTCCAATCAGAAACAAGTACCAAATCTGCTGATTCACTCTACCCATGCTCAGTTTAGCCCTTACTCCACATGGGAAAAAGTAGCATCCTGTGGCAGGCACAGCCAAATTTAGAAGGAACTTCATTTATTTTGTTATAGCATTGCCTGTCTTGTAGTTAATCTCATCATGTTTATTATGCGTAACGTACGTGTAAGACCTGTAAGCTTCTCTGTGGGCCCATGAGGCCTGCACTCCAGGAGAGCCATATCTTTGTCACCACTGTGCACTCACACACAAATATTCAGTTGGTGAACATTTTGTTAAATTTTATTATTATACTCACTACTATTACTGACAGTAACTGAGATCATCCCAACACAAACACAAACACACATACACACGCAAATTATATTAGA